GATCTACTTTGGCCTATCCCCCTCCAATGCTTTGTCCGCTACTTTCTTACAAAGAGTCACCAACTCCGGGGGGTTAGGATAGGTTCGAAATTGAACTTGGGACCCATCTCCAATGGCTTGCCAATTTCTGGAGGTAACTTGGCAACCCTTAGGGTTATCCAGTCACCTTTCAACTGTTTCTGTAATTTCTTTTATTGGAAGTGGGGGATCGATGGCCGAGTGGGCTAGCGCGCACCAGCTCGGAGCACGTGGAGCGAACGCTCGCGCTGCAAAATCCAAAGATACTGGGCTCAATCCCCACCCCTGCCTGTTTCGATCTGGATGAGCATCGTTCCGGCGTGCGGTCGTGTATCACTCCTGCGTGACGCAGGTTAAAGACCCCAGCCTAGCGGTTGTACTGCACTGGCTAAATTTCTCATCTACAGCTGGGAGACTCGGCTGACCAACTACACGTTGTCTAAATCACCACACAACCCCAATTATTCCTTGGAAGTGGCGGCCGGATTCAACAACGGAGGGCCAGAGCGTTCCGTGAGGGTCTACTACACTCTAGTATGGAGCAAATAACATGGGTGGAAGATGGGCGTGTGGATGCGCGGTGCGTTGATGTTTTCTTTCCTCTTTTCTACCAGTAGAAAACGAATAGTTGCGAATCAGCGCCGGTCTTGTCGTTTATGTTCCTCCTACGTGCTTTTCTTTTGCGTTGTTTTTCATCACCAGCTATCCTATAGATCTGACCTCGTTCCTTGTTTTTTTTTTTTTAACTCATTATGTCAACTGCATTTCTAAACTTTAAATGAATTTGTTCACGGAAATATTTAGGGGAGTAGCGATCATCATACCTCAGCGCAAAGTTCAACCTGCTCCAAATCTGGGCGGAAACGAACAGTTTCTGTACAGGAAGTTGGTTACAATTTGGGCTATCCAAATAGATTGCAAAAGCATGAACTCCAAACAGGAAGCAAACTACCACCAAGCTGCCACCAAGCAACAGCACAAAATCCAAACCAAAACCAAGGGTCCATCCCTCGCGATTTCGAAGTCTTTTTTTTACGTGAAAATTGTAAGGAAAGAAAAAAAGGCTAGCCAAAAGACGTGCACCTCAACGTATCTTCTAGTGACCTTTTTTTAAATTCTTTCGATTGCACGTCACACTTGGAGCAATCAAATAGGCGCTGATGCCATCCGGAATTTTAAGCAGACCTTGACCTGCGGCATTGAGCTTGTGGACCTCTAGAAAGCCGGTTTGGTAATAATGATAACAGAATATATCGTGGTATCTTACGAGTGGCGGTCCTGGCTTGCCATGCGCAGACAAACTCTCGTTATGCGGAAACAACACAAGATGGCGAAGGGGACACGCGAGTGCCCGATAAACTAGCTCTCCTAAAGATTGAATATTGTGGATCGCACTCAAGCCACGTGGACGTTTCCTGCCAAATTTCGAGGAGGTGTTTTCAGAGGAAGATTGTGACGCCAACACAGAAGCTCTTGCGACGATAATCAACTCGCGAAACAGAAGGCCAACGCGAGGCACAGGCACGAGTGCTACGACGGCGTTCGGCCAAGCCTCGTGGCCAATCCGCGAGAAGACGAGCCCCAGCCGACCCCTGACGTAGCGCTCGTGTCCAGTCTGTTCCACGTATTGGCGTTCTTTAGGTGATGCTGAAATTTTAGTGCAACGGCTTTCTTGCCTAAAAAGTGTTTGCACGTGGGTCTCGGCACTTGATACGCTCCTGCGCTCGAGTGAAAATTTTTCCTGGGCGTCTGTGCTAAATATTGGGCACATTTTCTCAGGAACTCTGACTGCCTGGTCGACTTCAACATTGGATGCGAGGAACCCGTATAGCGGCAGATTAAATGTCAGACCACCCCAATCGCGACGAGTAACTTTTTGCGGAACGTTCCATTGGCCAGGCTTGTCATGAGCAATATAAAGCAGTCATATGTCCATGTCACGCTATAGATACTGGCAGCCTAAAGATATGTTCTTATTCTAACGCAACGTCTAGGAGCCAACGCGCCCTATGGCGTTGCCCACCGCTGGCCGCGAATGGGAGTTTATCTCCGTCGTCATGCGCAGGGCGATGGAGCGCACTGTAGCCCGGCTCACGACGGACTAGACCAGCGGTCCTCAAAGTGTGGACCGCGGACCCCTAGGGTTCCTCGAGAGCGTTCATGTGGGCCCACGCCAAGTAAAGAAACTGCTCTAAAAAGAAAGCCCTCCTACGCCATATCACAAGACATCTGATGCAGGATGCGTTTGGAGTCGCCAAACGGCTTCCGAGTGGGTCAGGAGGTCCGTGACGACCAAATGTTTCAGAACCACTAGACTAGAGCATGCTCCATTCAAAACGTCGACAGGCGAACCTCGACGACGGTGGCTATCCGAGAAGCCCTCGCACGAGCGTCCCATTCGGGAATCGGGTTGTCGGCCGGGTCCAGTTGGAGTGTGTGGGCGCTTGTTTCTGCGATCTGAACCCGCCGTTCTTGCCCGTGCGATGTTTTTTCGTGTTTGTGTTCTGGTGTACGTATTTAACGTCCGCGCGCTAGACTGGGCGCGAGTGTGTGCGATGGCGGAGACCGCTCCGATGACGCGCTACCTTGTGAAGCTTCGTAGGCCCAATGAGTCGGACGAACTTGCATGGGGTGCCGGCAAAAACTGGAAGGTCGATGACACAGAGGTAAAGGTAATTATAATTAAGGAAAAGGATGACCTAACGTGTGTGCTATATATGATCATGTGCAGGTCGTATGCACGGGCTGCAGTTTACGAGCGCATCTTTAAACGCCGTAGAATGCACGGGAACGGCGAACCCAGTAGAACATACCTGAGCTATTTAGCCGTTCGAAATTTTCAACTGGTGTCTCAGCCTGTAAACGATAGCGGCACGTGATTAAAATGGGATTGAATCCTGAATTGTTTGTATGGGATTCGTAACGTGGGCTACAATTTCGAACGCTTTCAGTGCGTATTTAGACATCGTCCGCTCCCCTCGGTGTCTGTGTCTCGGCTCTTGACTCAACGTCAAAGGCTAGGTACGATCATAGTGCACTGGCCATTTGTCGGAGAGAGGTCGCTGCGGAATATCGAGTGAATCGCTTTCATCAAAGTATCCCGGCGGATTCACCGGAGCCGCTTGGCACGACTCCGCTCCAAGCGACTCCGGCAAACCTGGCGAGAGACTATCTTCGACGGGCGCGATATTAGAATGTTTTTGTTGCTCCCCTTGACAGTTGTGTAACATTTCGGGAAAAAAATTAATGCTGGAGTGCACTGGTTACCCCTGTCACTTGCTTGTGTTAGAGCTGCAAACCCCTGCGCCGAATCGCTGTTTTCAAGCTTGACTATACTTTGTGGCGACTTGACTTGATACAATATTTGCCGCCATTTCCGAAAAGAAACTGATGCACTTCCGATTACCACTAAAGCAGTGCAGACCGGTTAAAAACGAAAAATCACTGTATAGGCGATGAAAGGGCATCCTAAAGATTGTGTTAAAAAGTACTTGTACTTTACTTTGAAAGCGTGTTGTATTTATAATTCATCATCAACATTGCACCCGGTGTACTTCAAACTTTACTTGAAGTAGATAATCTCTCATTTACCTTGTACTTTACTTCAAGTATACTTGTTAGATGTACTTTACGCAGCACCATAAACAAGCAAACACTAACTGCAAAATTAAGCTCTGGCAGTGCTAAACCTCAAAGTAGAGACCATACATCCGCAGTACATCACTGACCAAAAAACAAGTCTAGAAAACAAAGAGGCACGCAGAAGCAGAACCAGCTATAATTAAAGCATTTCTGTGAAAACACAAGCCGCTTTATATTTGGCTAGCAGAATTTTACTAACGGGTCAAAACCTATGTACTTTTTGTTACCATAAAAATTTAAAAATAACTTCAAAAGTAATCTGCTAGTTTTTACGGTAATTAGTAATTTACTCAATTACTTTCCATTTGAGTAATTTCAAATGTAGTGGAATTACTTTTGAAGCCAATACCTATTAACTTAACTTAATTATTTTTTTTTAGTAACGTGTACATGTCTGTTTAAATGTGTAACTATCAGACTCTCTTCGTAACGAGTTATGATAAGATTATTCGGAATCTGCGTGTATTGTAGGATTTTCATTGGTGCACACAATGTAGTCCGCGAGAAAAAAAGAGTCTACATGTTTTTCTCTTACCCTGAGATAAATAGGCGGTTTTGTAATGTAGTACTTGTTATTTGCGGGAATTAACACCTTTTAAACAATATAAAATAAAAAAAACGACCCTTTTCAAAAATGATTTCAGTGCCTCTTTAACAATGTGTGGAACTCAGAGCGTGTCCCTTGTGATCTGCCAACTGCAGCACGTGACTATGGCAAACATTGGCAGGATATAATCGGCTCCAGAGACTCGGACGCTTATTCTGCCTGCGAGTTGAAGGGGTAAACGTTGCTCGTTTCTCTAGATTTTTTTTTTCTTTTTTTTACTGCGATTGTCACTGCTTGGAGAAAAAAAATATTAATTCGTGTTTCAGGTTATGACTGTCAAGGAATAATTGTAAACAGTATTCAAGGACGGCAAAAAAAAAAAAAAAATGTCGCATCGCCCTTTAAAGTGAAGCGAAGTGTCGTTCCTTATATGACCAGCTGAAGTCTACGTGGAGCCATAAAAACAAAACCGGCATCAGCTGAGTACAGTCATCTAGAGACGAAGCGACGCATCTAATGCGGTCGGAGGAAAACAGGCAGACGTTGGGCAGCCTGCCCCGCAAGAGCTTTCCTCTTCCCCGTTGCGCACTCCTCTCCGGAGCAGAGCCTCCTCCGCATCCTCCCGGCAGGAGTGCCCCAAAGAGTGCAGGGCGGTCTCCGGGGGCGTTTCCATCGGTGGCACCGCCCCCCTTCCAAACCTGTCCTGGCCCGACCAATGAAAAGGCGAACGTGGCCCCCCTCTGCGGAAGCCCCGACGGGGGGGTGCGTCCGCTGCCGGGACGGCCGGAAGTCTGCCATGGGGGCGCAGGTGAGCGCCAGGCGAGCCCCTGCGGCTCTCCGACGAGCTCCCTGGCCCAGGCGGCCCCTGCCAGCGTCCACGGCACCGGATGACCCCGACGCGCACAATGCCCCGGGCCCGGGACCTGACCTCCTCCGACTGGACACTTGAACGCTCCTAAGGTGAGTCAGCTGCCTCGGCTGCCTTCCACACGACCACTGACAGCCGAAGAAACGACGGGCGTGGCGAAGTAGCTTATTACCGCTCCGCAGCCAATCAGATTGCGCCATTAGCCGATCAGAACGCCCAAGAACAAATCACGATGGAGAAGCGTGAGCGTAGCGAGTCACGTCCCGCGCTTCTTTAAGCTGTCGGTGAAGACATTGAGTGCTTTCCCGCAAGGTACTTGGGAGAGCCACTTACCACAAAGGAAGCTCGGCAAATCGCGTGTTTGAAGATATCTTTAAAACCTAAAAGAATAACCTGCACTGTGGTATTGATCTTGAAGTAAGCGCGTGAAACCAAACTTGTTCACAGCCTCAAAGCGCAGGTTTTTTTTTTTTCTTCTTTTTTTTAACTTTGGAACGCAGTTTTGTTATTTGCCGAGCTCTCTTTGTATACACTGCAGCAATCGGCTCTTCCCACGTCCTTTGTAGGGAAGTAGGCGCACGGGAGTTTTGAGAGTGATATAGCATCGCGGGGCGCATTTTGCCGGTGCTTTGAAGGGCTACATTTATTGCGCGGATTGTTCATGCTGAGAGGGGAGAAGGTGTTAGAAAATAATGATGCGATGCGGCTCTTTGTGCTCTGTTACGATCTGAATCGAGCGGACGCGAAAATCATAAAGTGATTTATAACGAAGAAAGGCAAGCAGAAAAAAAAAAAGAAAACGATGAAGACTTAAAGCAATTCAGATAAAATTCTAAAATTTCGCACCTTTTGCATTTTTTATTATTTTTTTTTTTAATATCGAAATTAGCATTTTTCGGACAAAAAACCTTTACTACCGCTCGAAACTTTGCTCCTAGTTCAGAAGTAGCGCAGTGTATTCTAACGCGACCCCTAATTGCAACATCACGTGCTTTGAACAGCGCGAAAAGGCCACAGAAGGCTACCCCCGACGTTCACAAGATTGTTCAACTATAACAGCCCGCTGCAACATAGGAACTGCAGGACAAGTTCTCCGCAAAAACAACGTTTCGCTTCACAGAACACTTGGGTGGTTGAGCTTAACTTGTTTAGGACGCCAATCTTTGAAAGAAAAGTCATATGAGGGACGTTCCTTCTCTTCTGGGACGTCTGAAGGATGGCCATATTTTTATTTTTTGGTTTAGTGAAATCGTTTCTATCTGAACAATTAGGCTGGCGGAGCCTTTCCTGTTTTTCTCATGTTTCAAATGGACTTCCGACAAAATGGCGTTTGGTAGGAAAAAGCGATACAGTTTATCGAAACCCCTGCTTACACGGTGTTATTGTGATAATCTAATGGAGATTGAAATACTTGTATTCGAAAAAAAGCTTGGCTGCTAAGCATCGAAGTTTCCCTCGTCAACATTACAGCTTGAACATTTCATCGGCGTGCCATGAATGCGTCAACTCCCAAAATCACATTCGACGAAGGTATAAGAGCATTCCTCGCATAAATGAACGCAACAATAGTGGAAGTTATTTTCGCTGTGCACTGCAGCAAGCAAACTATGAATACGTGCTTCTTTAGCGCCATGCCATTCAAGCAGATGACAGATGCTGGGGAGGTAAAAAAAGACAGGTTAGAAATATTATCAAGAACGAAAGTTGGACTTTCGTACTAGGCACTATGCAATTACTCCAACTCCAACGTCACAAAAAAAAAAAAAAAAAATGCGACGCTGAGATAATTTTTAAATGCAGAAACCAAAGAAATTATACTAATGCTCGCACTTTGAAACGGAAGGGGGTCTAGACTGTAATTGTAATCAAACGCGGTTAGGTTTGAACGGTCTGAATAAAAAGAATTAAGGGCCTCTCGTTTGTGAAATGCACAAACACTTGCATTCTCCCACTAGTGTGCGCTGCTGGGGCTATCAAAGGCACAGACCTTTAGGCGGAAAAGCTTTGTTTGTTGTTGCCGGAAAAATATAAATTGCTTATAAAATTAAAAGTAATCGCGCATAGAGCACGTGGAGCGAAAACTCGAACTTCAGAACCCAGGGATCCTGGATTTAATCCCCTTCCTTGCCCGTTTTGATCTAAATGAGCATTCTGAGGTCGTGTATCGCTACTGCGTGGTGCGCGTTGAAGTCTCCAGGCTATATATCGGTGGCACTGCAGTGGCTAAATTTCTCATTTAAATCTGAGACACTAGACGCCCATTGAGTCTCACTAACTTAAGCATGTCTAAACATGCACAAAAGACAATTACTTTAACTAAATAAAGCGTATAGTTTAAACATCTACGTTGTAATCGCCATCACTACGAAAGTTAGCGCCAGTTCCTCGTTTTTTTTTTTTTTTATCATTAGCGTAACTGCTCGGCCTATATGTTCTCATTTTATTTTAATAGGCGCAAATTTCAGCTTTGGTCCAAGTATTTATTTGCTGGAACTTGGTTTCACCCTTGAGATTTTCTTACGATTTCATCCCGTTTCTCTACGAATAAAATGTGTCCAAAAATGTATACCGCGGAAAGAAATGCAAGGTATGAATTATCTGTCCACTGAATTTATTAAAATGTATTAGCTCACCGGCTAGATAATTGGGAAATGGAAGTAATAAATAACTTCGAACTCTTAATTTGTTTAAGACGTGCGTGCACTGAGGTACGTAAGTGAAAGTTATGTCAGTGCCTGGGCTGTGTTTTGAAGAAATTCTATTGCCACGGAGGAACGGTGGCTATATACCTTGAAAGTGAGGGTTCTCTTTTCCGGTTGTTGATAACGAAATTAAATACCAAATAACACGGACGAAGAAGAGACACGTTCCGTGTTTTTTGCGCTTTTAAGTCCTCTAGATCACAATAAACTCACTAGCGCAATTCAAAGTTTTAATTCAACTTTAATCGGAGGTTTGCTTCCAAGTTGTCATCGTGAAAGCGTCGTTTACCTCTCTTCAACGCAATGGTGCAAAGAGCTACACAAACAGCCGTTTTCCTACGAAGTCACCCTGAGAGTATTCCGTATTTCTGGAATAAGTCACGCGATATTGAAAGGCAGCTCTTTGAAAAGATTCGGGAACTGGTTCTACGGATATCTGTCCTGTTTTTTCGCGTATATGTGAGGAAAAATAAAAGGCGTTTTTTTTTTTTTTTAGTCTTTACAGATTAAAAACAAAATATATAGCCGTGAAAGCTACACTAGTGCGGTCTATACAGGCGAGCTATACGGTCAGGGGTACATAATATAGGAGGCTAATAACCACGATAAGGCATTAACTTTTTAAGTAATGAAAATAAACGCATGGTTAAAATTAAGAAAAAACTTGATGAGTGTCATCAAAAACGATTCAATCAGTAGAAAGTGCATGAAAAGGTTAGGAGCGAGTGGGAAGCGGGGTGACGCGCTAATCTTACCACTCGTCCAACGGGCTCAAGGCTGGCAGTTCAAAAACGCGGATGAAAAGATGGTGTTATCATCCGCGTTTTCGCGTCGGCAGCCTTGCGCCTGTTACACGAGTGGTAACTTTACGGCACCACCACGCGTCATACGAAGACCAACTCCTTCTAAAATGTACTAATTTAGCGATTTTCGACGACGCTCATCAAGATTCAATTTGAAATCCTATTTATTTTCAGAAATTAAACTGCTAATTAACAAATTCTAGCTAATTATTCGACTTCTCGTGACGATTATCACCCGATATTAGCTCCTTTTGGCCGTATAACTCACCTGCACAGAACACATTAGTGTAGATTTTACGACTTTCTTAAAACAAATGTAGAAGCCCCAAAACACCCTGGTCCTTCGTTTTCTGGTTTTATATTTTTGAACAATTGGTGATGAAAAATTGGGCACTTTGTTCCAGGCTGGTAATCACGGAGAAATCGGGTTTAAAAATATATATATATTCTGCAATTAGGGTTTTTCAGGTTGTATTTAGAAATATAGAAATATAATTAACAATAAAGAGCATTTATCGGTTTCAACCTATGTAAAGCTTTTTTTTTTACAATTGAATTAATAAGATACACAACATAGCATGGGAACGTGGTATAAGAGCTGACGGGCTTTTCGATTTTTCATAATCGATGTTGCTTACATAATCTACTGCATGCGCTAAATTTATGTATGTGTGTGTCTATCCTAGTCCCGTCCGGTCTTTGGAGAAATCTGCATTGAGGGAACGCTCCCTCAACATCACAGCGTACATTTGCAATGCACAAGAGTATCACTTCAGTTGGACGAAAACGAAAAATCTGCCGTTCTCTTTTAAACAGGGTGTCGAACCGAACTCGAACCCGAACCGAAAACCGGATCAAAACCTTTATTTTTGACCGAACCAGAACAAAACCAAAACCGAAATCGAACGGTTCATATTGAACCCGAACCGGAACGAAACCATAATCTTATGTGGCGGTTACCGGTTCAATGAAAACGGTTAAGGGGCCAATTGGTGTCAATAATTCGTCCAAATTGGAAAAGTTGCGGGCGTATATTTTTCTTATGTTGCCAAGAGTAATCCTAAATACTGTGAGATATTTTTGCATTTTGTTTTCATTGCATACGTAATACAAAATACATCATCGTCTGGAGAGCTTCAACTTTCCTTTGTTTCTTGGATTGACCCTGGCGTCGCGGGAGCGGCGGTGGCTATTTCGAAGCACCGCTTGGCCGCTTGGCTACGAAATGTGCAAGTGTCGGAGCGGATTGCGCCACTGTAGGCACGACGGGGGCCTACGCGTCCGCGAAGGTTTAACCTCAAGATTGACCGTAAATGCAGTCGCTGAGCCATTTAGTCAATCGAGCACCGAGAGCGCACCACGTGACCTTCCGCTTGAGTCCAGCGACACCCTGGAGGAAGGGCGGACAAGTGTGCCCTGCATTGGCAGTATAGTTTGTAGGGTCGCCTGAGGTACATTTCAATAAAAATACAATTCCTTCTTCAACTCGCTCGGAGTGTTACCTTACAAAAAAAAAAAAAAAAACACGTGTGAGCAGAGCCAAATTAACCAAAACATATGGAGGGCAAGCAATTTAGCTAGATATCT